AAAATGTTTGTTGATAATTTTAATTCCACATTTAAAATGAATGAATTTTTATGTTTGTTGGACAAAATCGTTTTATTAATCGAAGTATTTCTTGCAATTCAATTTAATTGTTTGTTATTAATTGTTTGTTGAAATACAGTTTCATATACACTCATTCAATATAACAATATAATTCATTTCACATTTTTATTAAGTAACATTTTTTAAACAATCATATTTAATACGTAAGACAATAACAACAAACGTAAAAAGTAGAGGCATACGATTGACTGTTATTTAAAATGGCACATTGTAAAATTTTGGAATAAAATTGTACAAATATTTTCAGAGAACATTTTAATTCAACAATCATATGAATTCATGCTGTTAAAATCGGCAAGAATTATTTAAAGTGATTGTTGAATTAAAATGCTACATTAATTAAAATGATTGTTGATAATTTTAATTCGTATCTCTGATTGTACGGAAGTTTCAGGAACTACAGTTTAGTCTATTTGACTACGTGTATACTAGCGCCTAATTAAAATTATCAACAAACATTTTAATTCATGTATCATCTTTATTAATCAACATTTTTTTAATCAATCTCTTAATACGTAAGATAAAAACAACAAACGAAAAATTTAGAGACATAAGATTGACTGTTATTTAAAATGATACATGATAAATTGTTGGTATAAATACTAAAACGGCGTTCCATACGGACAGGCGGACAGACGGACAAAATGCCTACAATAGCGTTCATTTGCAAAATGCGCTAAAAAATAAACGGAATGTGGATGCCCCCGACAAGATCTTACTGATCGTGGAGTCAAAACTTAACTGTTATAAATTAATCCATTTCGAGACTGTCATAAATTTATTGTTAGTTAATTGTTACTAAATAAATCACGATTTAAATAAGTTGCTACGACACCGTACAGCGTTATGCATCACTAAATAATGTCTACTGCTAATGATCTATTTCCAGTTTTATATAAACCTCATTCCCACAACCTACGTGAATTAATTATGAAACTCAGTGGGGTTGCACAACACCTCATGCTACCTGACACTACATTTAGTTCAGTTTGACACGTGACTTATTGAAGTGAGAATGGTTGTTATATTTCAGAATTCATTTCCATTTACAATTTACACACTCAAAATTGTCACTAGATTCGTAGGTGTGTACATTTAACGCACTTTTTTTGTACGAAAAGCGAATCTTTTCAATTTGCATGAATCTATTCGTCGTTTTTGCAAATTTAACACTTCAGCGACTGGGTTGAGAGCTTTCAGGAATTCTCGCCTGAAAGGTGTTATTTGCACAGGAACGTCACGTTTTGGAATGAATGATCCGGGATACCTGTCGTTACAAGTAGATGATGCGTTCAAATAAACCGTGCATAAAAATAAATTGTACGTCATATAAAATACATGCGATAACTCCCACAGGACCCAATTTAACAGTCACACATTTTTCACCGCCGCAGCAATTAACGGGATTTCGAACGTGGCAAATAAAATCCCCATAATGTTCAGAACGGGACAGAGGAATTAAATATTTCAATTTTACGAGCATTTTCAATTTGGTCATATTGCCAGCTATATATAAAAGTAATTAATAACGACCAATCGTTTAATTCGTTATTAAAAGCGGCTAAATTAAGACTTCTAAACAACATGAACGCTTTGAACAATTACTTTCGCAAATTTTACAGTCGCTTAACTTCTCAAATTAAATTCAGTACAATTTGATTTTGTCGTACGAGACTTGAATTTGAAATTCCCCTAAGCTACCGAGCCGTTGGTAACGTTGTGTTTTGGGATCATGTTCTTGACACAAAAAATACTTTGCGCTGAATTTGGTGCACACAATAGGGTGCATTCCCGATCCAAACTTTCCCTAAAGTAATTTCCTTATACCAAAATCATTATACCCAAACCCGAAACCGACCTTCACATTTATAGCCCATTAAAATAAACTAACAAGTTAGAAACTAGCGTCTGTGGATATTGATTTTAATCACTCATTTTAATTACCAAGCATCGTTTAAAAGGTTTATTGGTTACCAAAGAGTACTATAATGTGTAATATTGAGAGCGGAGTTGGAAGTTCTTAATTGTTTAGTACGAAGGTGCTGCGGCTCCCCCTCGAGAAAATTTTAATAGTTCTCCACCACTTTGAGTAATATAAATTATAAAAAGGAGTAGGTAGTAATTTAATTAATTTTCAATGTAGGAACATAAATAGATTAAAATGAGTTATGCAATTTCACAAATACTTTGAATAATTCGTAAAGGTTGATAATTCCGAAACCGAAAACGACTTAACTGCAAATTAAAAATTAACAAAGTACTCACAGGTAGGTAAGGTACGTCAAGCTAAATCCATCAAATGGATTTTTACTTCGTGAATAATACATCAGCTTAGATGAGATGTTAAATCATTAAAAAAATCTGTCATAGCTTTTTTTGGCGATTGAAGCATTGCGGCCTTTATTGTTAGCGACATTTCAAATATCGAACCTAATCAAGTGGGATTAATCCACTGCTTTACACAGGTCAAAAATTACACAAATAGTTATTTATGGTATAAGTGTGTTATATTACAAATAAGTCACGCGAGAAAAAAGTAAGCCCACGAGGCCCTCAGGCCGAGTGGGGTTATTTTCTCAAGTGACTTATTTGTAATTAACACACGTGCACCATACAAAACTTTATCCAACACCTCCTCAAGCTGGTTTAAAACGTGGAAATCTTAAAAACTGCGTGTTCCGCGAAAAGCTAGAGTGCATGGAATACAAAAGCAATAATTCGTTGCTATGGGGAATAATAAACAAAAAAAAATTTAGTCAGAAAATTTATATGATTTACTTATGGTTCCTGTACTTTATCTTGCTAGTGAGTTATTTTACGTCCATAACTCATTAGTGGGTTATATTATACCTTACTCGTTTAATTTCGTCATGATAATGACTGGATAACATAGAGGTGTTGGATAAAATAATTTTTAGTATAGGTAAAGCGATTTCAGCTTGCGAGTGAATACGACCTACGGCTACTTTGTAATACGATGTACAAACGTAATCTCTAGTACGTGTGTTTCTTGAATTCTTGCTTATTTACTGCTACAAAATTATTTCCCTTCGCAACTTTGTAAACAAAATTAAAACAGTCTTACGAAACAAACAATTCAATTTCCAGAAGGTAACTCGAAGAGTATGCATTATATTTTAAAATGTTAAATTTTGTTTTGTCTTTAATACCCTATTGTTTTACTTTCACTTACAGCCTGCTTAATTCAAAGTATGTTCATAAAGAAGGGTTTTTCTCCCCAAATGTGTTTCTTCCGTAACTTTTTTCTCAAAAGTGGTTGAACTAATGGCCTGGTGAAGGTGTTCCGTTCTTTTAGATCTAACGGTTGCTGACAACAATTTGTATCTGAACAACGTAAAACGGCTAAAATTTAATTTACTACACCAATAAGTTGAATTCAGGATACATTGATCACATATTCTTCATTATTCGCTAGTATAGATATTAGTAATGTACAGATATTTTAGACAAATACTCTTCGTGCGACATGAATTAAAATAGACTTTGTGTAATTAAGCACGATTTCATGTCATCAGTTGAAGTAATTCACTTATCAAACTTCTCCAATTATGTATAATGCGGCGTGTTTCTTTTAATAAAGTCGATAGTTTTAGATGCGAGACACGTTTGCAACACGCAGCTTTAACCAGGACCAGTGGCGTAGATAAGGGTAGAGAGAGGCACAGGTCATGGGGAAAAGTGACTCGGACTCTCAAGATTAGTCTCTTGACCCAGCCCTATTCTTAAAAAATGGAGATGTCCGCAACAAAACGATTGAAGTTGAGTGTTCGTTAAAGATGCTAGTTCAAAATGACAATAACTGAAAGATGTTGGGAAGGATAATCAAATTGATTCAATGCTAGTTAAATGATAAGGTGACGCGTACCACTAATATTGTTAATCATTGATTAACCTTAACGCTCTCACATACTCAAACTGCGATAAAAGAACAATACCAATAATAATGAACCCTTGAACTTGGCAGATTGATTTATTGAAATTATGGAATAAAATTTTAATTCTTGAACCAAAACGATTCTTGAATCCAAAATCAAATTCAATATTCTCTTAAATTTAGAGTTATATTAATATAAGAAATTTAAAGACTGGTTAAATCCTTTAAGAACAAAAATTTATATATTTATATTAGATTTTCTATAATAGTTATTTACGTTTAAATTCATTACTGGCGAGGAAATATTAAAGTTCGAATCTCCTTTCGCGAGTACTCTAATTTTGTCATTTTACTAACGAGTTTTGTATTAAATTTTACCCGAAATCCTATTTTAATATAAATACAGAACTTTTGATTAATCTCAATCAGTCAGTGATGACATGAGTCATTATATTATAGACATTACCAATGTGACAGGAGCGACCGTTAAGCTGAGAGGCGACAGGAAAAGTAGTCTGGTAAAATTTGGCCTACCTAAAGCGGCAAATGAAGGTGCCATGATTTTCGGTAAACTTATTTTCACATTAGTTCTTAAAGCTATTCAATATTTACTTTGACAGCTTAAACAGAAATAAATAGAACTAACCTTTGACTACCTAGGATTTTCTATTTCCTAGAATGAGTTGATTTTCTCAACATACTCTTCCGTTCACTTTGATCAAACGCAAAATTGCCACGAGATGAAAACACGGTAAACTTAGAAGTAGAATTGGGTCGGGGTGAATAACGGGGTTCTCATACACTAATCAAAATTAAGCAAAGGGAAATATAAGACTGACTAAAAAGCTACCAAAAAAATTAGATGTGTTTTGACGGAATTTAATCTCAATTTAGCTATATCCAAATACAATATATATACTTGAAAGCTACTATCTATGGACGATTGTGAATCCATTTTTTTTTACTTTAAATTACCATTGATTGGAAGAATTCGTCTTCGTCATTAAATTCCTGAAGTTCATGACTGTTATTAAATGGTCATTTTGCTATTTCGTCGTTTTCAGCGGGAATGATGATAGTGTTGGATCTCTGTACAATATCTATGAGAAATTTCACGTCCTGCGATAGAATTTCAAGCTTTGATAATATTTGCGATAATAATTCTGAAAACAAGTAGTAATTAGTACATTCCTTGAAAGTTAAAGTTGAAAAAGTGAATAATGTGGTATTATTTAAGCAAAATAATATTATATTAAACATGCATTCGTTAAATAAAATGAAGGTTGCTCTTACCTTTAGTGTCTTTGCAGCAATTAGGTTCTTCTTTTAATGTTTCATCCAGAACAGTAGTTGATGATGACGACGGTGGTGTGAAAACCTCTGTAAATGACGAATCATGGACAGTTGCAGATGGAGTTTTACGCATGTTGGTGGTAGGAGTACGACATATGGGCAAATCATCATCATCTTCCAATCTCTGCATTTTTTTTACAGCATTTTCATATGTGTCTAAAAAATTATTATGATCATTGAAGAATGTTGCATATATTTGTCATTACTTGTCATATATTTAATAGTGATTTTACACCTTATGGAATTTTCATGAATCGCAGGCGTTTTGTTAATAACCGCCTTCCTTCTCTGCTCTTCTGTTCGAAAGTGCGGCCACCAACAAAAATATTCATTCTCAGAGGTTTGTCCAATCCACGATGATGGAATGATACTCAGTGGAACAGAACCCAACTCAGTCTCGTCCGGAAATTCCACGACATAGTAGCTAAACAGATATTATAAACTATAAGTATACATGCACCTAATAAGTACAATGCGATCAAAAATGAGTTGCTGTCGAGTCGCCTTTGGAATTTTTGTTTACATGTCAAATCGTACTTAACTTGAATTTCCAAAGGCGACTCGACAGCAACTCATTTTTGATCGCCCGTTATAGCATAATGGATAAATAGTGACTGATGGTCCTTTACAATAGAGAATTGTAAAACAATCTATAAAATCAATGGTACAATAGTATTGCAAGGAATTTATTAGGTATATCCTTTAATGGAGTTAGGGCCATTCTTGTGAAAAATGGCCTTACTTTCCCGCCATTATAATTTTCGACAAATGTCATTTCAACCGTATGGAGTTAAAACAAATAAAACAAAGTATTGCATAAGTTAAAATTAACAAAAAATCACTTACCTTAAGTTTTCGGAAGCTGATGGCGCTGATGCACTTGACTTGTTCGCCATAACTAAATATACGGTCCTTCTAATTGTTTAATTCACTAAAGAGTTCCGTAGTTATAACTGATAACCTGGCCAACGCCGAAGACGAACTATTATAAGAACGTTTTCAGCCGTCAATGTATTTTTGCAAATGTAAAGGTAAACCTGAACCTGAAGACCCCGAAGTCCTGAAGCTGAACTGAAATGTGAAGGTTAAAGGTAGGAACAGGAGGGGATGTAAAATAAGTAAGAACATATTGCTGCACTGTGGAGCAAAAAAGATGGGTGTAATAATAAAATTCCAAGAAACTATGCATATTCTGAATCACTGTTTAGATAATATTGACAATGGCCCATTATAAGCCCTTTACAACGCTTTTACCTATTTATGGTTTATGTATGTCTTTGTTTAGGCATAAACAAAGCCTACAGGTACGTGTCCTTGTATATTAAATTCTTAACGTCTTTGTCTTCACGGTAAAATTATAGCCCGCTTTGGAACTTTGCTAATTACCTACTCAAATTCAATAGAATTCTTATAAAATACGTGTATACAATAGTGACCGCTAATGGGCCTTAATTGGGTCCATTGCTTGAGGGTAGAAAGTAACCGACTTGAGGTTGATATATTTACTCCAAGGGCGTTACGTTTTGCCGTTGCACTTATATTTGATCTTTTAATCATTACCCAATACTTCTCACAATTTTTTTCAAAAATTACACATTCACTATAAATGAGGCCGACTTTTACATTCGCAATTTACATTAAAATTTACGTAAAATTAGATATAGTGAACAATGTTTCATTCGCAGGGACCCATCACCTAGGTATAACTCAACATTTCTTTTTGCGTCAACGTGCAATGTTGCGCCAGTCAAGGGCCTTAATAGGATAGGCTCAACGACGTTTAGCGTCGTCTTACCGTTGAATTGCCAGTACCATGTAAAATTCATTAAAGAAGACGACGCATGGCCTTCGTCTTACCAGTGAAGTATACCAATGCTGTGTTGCCGTGACCAATACAATGCCATCATTTCGCCAACACCACTAGTATTAGCCCAATAACTTGCCAGAGATTATATGTTTGCTGGGTAGCATCTAGTGAGAATCTCTGTCTTTGCTTCGCGAGCCAGACATCGAATGAAACTCTACGCACTCTATACAGTGTGTCTAAGATAAGAATGAATAGCATGAGGAAATCGGAAACCATTGAAGATAGACAGTTGGTTAAAGAAAAAAAAGTTGCGTATTTTATTTTAGTAAAACGAAGTTTTAAAAATTCGGAAATTTTTCAAGACGCCCAAGAAATTAGACCTGTGAAACCTCGAGTTATTTTTAGTACGAATGGATTAAATATTTTGGGTTTGAAAAATGAAATGAGTGAATTGCCACGTCTTCTATTAACTGGGTCACCAGTCCGATTTAGATAAAAATTTCGGGTTTCTTTCCGGCTGAATAGCAGAAAGGTGTTACAGTATAATAATTACAATTAAGAGGGATTCCACAGGGAACAATATTAGGACCATTGCTCTCTCTAATTTATTTTAGTAATGTTCCCCAGTGGCCAGTATATATCGCCATGTGCTGACTGCGTTCTCTAGCGACTAGCACACACTAATAGCATTATGTAAAAATCAGTTCAAACATATACAGAGTTTCATTTTCACTATGAGGATCTCGTAAACCGTAAGAGATGCAAAGTCGCTTAAATGGACAAAGAATTGCACAATTTTATGTTGATAAATCTTCCCATTCAAAGTTTCTTGTATCTCTACAACTAGCGGAGTTATGGCATTTTTGAAAATGCGCTGGCGCTCGTTTATTTTCATAGATATCAAAAAATAGTTTTACCGAAGCCGTAGAAATTTTTTCTCGGCTTTCGATTGGTGCTAAACTAAAATTTTTATAACTTGTGGGTTGCGAGTAATTCACATCAACTTTCTTATTTCTTATGGAAGCAATATTGGACTTCTACGTCAGCGTCACTCGATAGAGGAAAAAATTACAAAATCAGTGATACAATACTAAACACTTGTCTTGAAGTTTACAATGTATTTCTTATGGCAATAATTCCATGGCTGATTGTGATTGAAACCAAATCCATCCGTTTATCGTCTCGCGTACTCACTATCAACACGGCCATGGAATTATTGCCATAAGAAATACATTGTAGCCTTCAAGGCAAAAATTCACGGTTGATTCTCACAAGAAATACGAAGTGTTTAGTATCACTGGTTTTGTAATTTTTTCTCTATCGAGTGACGTAGAAATCCAATATGGCTTCCATAAGAAATAAGAAAGGTGATGCGATTTATTCAAAACGCACACGTAATAAAAATTTTATTTTGGCACCATCAGAAAGCTGAGAAGAAATTAGTATTTGGTTCACTTGGTTGTTGTATTGTTGGTTTAGCGATGCCGGCACCGAGACGCATTCGAATCATGGAACTCTATGTGACTATTGATTATAGGTAGGTATCAATTTTAAAGTCACGAGTTTAACTTAACGTTCATTATAGGTAAGTTCCTGGACAATTCTCCAATAATATCTTAAGTACGTGTCCCTACAGTCATAGTAAATAATCACTAAGTCTTTAATGCTGCAAACTGTAACAGTTCGAAAACGGATAAACTGTTTTGAAGTAAATAGCGGACACTGACAGCTTTCTAAATGGGGACGAATCTGTTCTATAATTAAAAATGCCACATCACTTTATATCTGTAGTTCAATCAAACTGGTCGAGAAAAGGGAAGTGTATCAGAATAATGGATGGATTGAATTTTGTTGAAAATGTAATATGTGACATAATAGCCCAATACTGATGTGACTCGAAAGAAATGTACTCTGCTAAAAAATGACCATCAATGTCAATATCGCACGAACTGAAAATGTAACTCAAGTGGGATTAAGTTAATGGACTCATTTTGCACCTCCAAAAAGGTGCGTGTCTATACATTTTCATGAGTGTAGCAAACGCTAAGCGATTAAGAAATTGAGGAAGTAAAATCGATAATACTTATAAAGTACTTCTTCCAAAGTACTTACTACAGAAATAAGGTTAAAATATTGCATTTTAAAATGAAATTGTCTCTAGAGAAAAGCGTATACTTGCAGTATCTCTGTACATTACCCCAATGATGGCTGATAAACTTTGAGTGGCATTCAAGAGATTACAACGTACCTACATAGCTAAGTTGCTTGCAAACACGCATCGGTGTAACTCCTGTGATACACGAAATCCTTGAAAACGATTATTAATGGTATCTTAAGTGATAAGAAGACACAAGAAATTTGTCAGTTTCGTTCCTTCGACCAATTTATTATTTTTAATTAACAAAAACTTTTAGCTTAATGAAATTTACTCTAGACGTTCTTTCTCTTGACTGCTTACGATCCTTGCAACTCTATTTACAGACATATTTCAGTTTTCAATATTTGTTCAGCTTTTCACTACCGGATATTTGATTGAGGCGACAAGCGATAGGTACTTAAAAGTTACTACTGTGACAGTAGTTTCCCGATAAAGTTTATCCTTGCATATACGTTTGGATGCAATGGCGCTCTCAGTGATGTGTTAATAGAAAATGGGAAACAAAACCTCGTGCACATTGCATACTTCAATAGAGATTATGATTTCAATCCGCATTATCTGTAACATTTTCTAGTACAAGATTACGTAGTGCCAGTAGAATATAACATTTTCGGTAAGGATGAGTGGATCCAAGATGAAACCGGCGATACCCAAATTTAATTACTAAGTTATAACGTTGAGTGAACCTTCACTCAACGGTTATAAGCTCAGTTGTGCGTCGCGGTTCAAATGAAAGTTTCGTTAGGAAATATGAACAAACAGATTTATACTGGAATTAAACGTGCTTTAATCGATCTTGGTGGAAATAATAATTTAAGATGACATATTAGGGTGTTATTTTTCCATTCTTTTAGGATATCCCAAATGCTTCTCCCCTGGACTGTACTCTATAACTCTTACTTATTTGTTAATTATTAAATTGTTTTTAAATTGTCTTAATGAGTATAACTTTATTGGTACCACTGGAAAGCATTTTTCAATAGCTTTCCAACGATGTGTCACAAGTATGGGGTTGCCATTTAGGCTTTTTGAAGAGGGGGGGCTGGGGGGTTAAGGAGAGGTAGGGGGTTGTCATCATAACGTCATTCTGGTTCCCCCTGATACCCCCGAAACGGTTTTGCGCGATTTTCAATATCTTGTTTAGTTTGAAAAAATATGGCGACTGCAAGTTTTAAAATTGACACCACGTATAATACGGAATTCGAAAAGTTGAGTCTAATTGATTCAAAATTATCAGTGCCCTTTTCGCATCTCCACTATTTATGAACCGAATTGTAGACTTTTTTTATTTATGAAGGTGTTTAAATTTAAATTGATACGTAGGCACTTGGAATAAAAGCAAATGTAACACCAGTTTCAAAATTTGGTTTTGCGCATGCTATAGCCATATAGCCAGGAGCTCGTTTACTATATTTGTGTTAAATGTGATGTTGTTGTTACTGTGATATTTTGAGATGCATATTTATTAATAGGTTATACCGGGTGGTGCATGGTAAGTAGGAACATAGGGATTTAACATGGGAAATTAGTTTTATGCAATATCCTGCCTTCCTGTACATTTTACAGAAAAAACTGTTTAAAGTTGTTCAGAATTAAAAGGTGCATACAAAACTGTATGTTTTATTAAGCTTTTGGTATACCCGCAAATTTAAAAATAAATTTCAACATTTCTCTTATTACCTAGTAGCAATGCATAAAACAACAAAAGTAATGGCTATTGTATTATTATAACGGGCGATTAAAAATGAGCTGTTGAATGACCTTTGGAAGTTCAAGTTAAGTATGATTTCCCATGTAAACAAAAATTCCAACGGTGAGTCGACAGCAACTCATTTTTGATCGCATAGTATTTCTATGTTAACCTTTTAGGACATGAAAAGTCATCAGCTAACGTCATTGTTCAGCGAAATTGCCGTTCTGGAAGACTTACTTGAAAACTTTTTGTAAAACTTAAAACGTTGTGTCAATATTTCTATGAAAAATGTTCTTCTAATGAACTCTTTAATACGTTGTTGCATTACAAAAAAAAGTGCACCAATAGTAAAGTACAATATTTGTCTTGTGCGGAAATGTGCGGATGTGAT